ACAGACAACCCCGTAACAATATGCGTTTTGTACTGCTGTTACACAGCACAAAACGCATAAAAAAGGCACCAAGGCGAGTAAAAGCGAAAATAAAGAAATACCACAAGCACTGCATATGGAGAAAAGTCTTTGGCAGAAACTCCGCGGCTCAGTGAGCAAACACGGACATTTTCTATAAAAACGGCACTTGCAAAACACAGCACGCTGATGCTCAAGAGGTTGGCATAATATTATTTATGCGTAATTTTAACGGCTTCTATTTTCATATTGGATCCAGGGATTTATTCTAACCAGCCCAACAGTAATCTACCAGCAACATGGGTAGCACATTTCTGCACTCAGAGTATTGCCCAGCCTGATTTTTATGAAGGATTTATAAAAGTGAGTTTATTAAATTGGTCTGGTAACTGAGAAAATGCTGTACTCCGATTCCAAAACAATTCTAACGAGCCTATCTAAGGGAGAAATGAAAAACATTATTTTAAATTGTGGTGAAAATAATCAACCTTGAAATCTATCAGATGCTCGATGATCGGCCGTACATATAGCCGATATTGCACTATTTGAGAGGGGATCTCCAAATAAGTTCTGTTACGCTGGCCCACTGCAAAATAGTCGATTTTTGTAAGTATCTCGATGCCGTTTGGGAACGTCCCTTGCCGGCCAACGTTCTCTTGAAACGCCGCACTTGCTGCTCTAAACACTGTGGATCAGTGTGAGAAAATGAACAAAACAGCGCATAAACCAAGCATCGGGGCAGTTGGAACTATAAGTTTAAACGTGCGTTTCGCCGATTATAAAAATTTAAAATTTGATAATTACCTTCGTACATTGACCTCACGATCGAACAGAGCTGCACATACGAGAGATGTTGCGATCTGCTCCATGAAATCTTTCAAATCTGAGGGACGAAGAGTTCGTGCCAGTGACCAGCATATATAACAAGCTGCATCGCGAACATTTGCTCCCACGGAATAACGACCTTGTTGCTCTTCAAACACAAGAGCCTGCAAGAAAATTGAAATCCGCTTCTACAAATGGTAATGCCTTTCTCTGAAACGAAATTTTTACCTTTCTGGTTACTCCAACAACATCCGTAAGTCTTTCGAGCGGGAGAAAGCCACGCCTGCAGAGTTCTGCAATCGCCAAACAACCACCATGCCAAGCGGCGTTGCCGGAATGAGGATCGAAGTTAAATTTAATGATACTGTTGAGCACATCATTTGCGAAATGCTTCGGTAATCGGGACACAATTCGACCGATACCCTTGGCGCTTGTCCATCGTAAATTCGTGCCGCAATCTCGCAGAGCGTCAAGCAGCATCCGCAGCACTGTCTCCAACTGCAAAAAAAAACGAAATGATAAATTCATGCACAGCTTCAGGTTCCTGAAAATGAGAAATTCCACAGCATCCGATAAAACTACTAACTTCGGCATGTGCAACAGCATAGTCTTCATCATCGGCAGTGTCGTCATCATTCGTCTTCACACATTCAACTGGTCCTTGTTCATCAGTGCCGGCCTTAAGGCCAGTAGGTGCAAGACAACGATGCCCACGATCGTAGCGCCATTTGGCAAACTAAATCACAATATCATATCACTTCTTTAATACTGCTGCCTCTATTTCTATGACATAAATGCCACGATCTTCACTCCGTTACTCCGATCAGTCGCTGTTTCACCATAGGGTCCCCTTAGCTACATCGATGCAACACGCAAATCTCTCGCAGTTGCTGTGATTGAAGCTGCGTAGTCTGATAATCAGCCTGCTGATAATCATGCTATTCGTTTCTTTATTTTCGTTTTTTACTCCTCCAGGAAGAGGAATTTTAAATTAAAAAAGACAGAAATCCGTAACTAAATAATTCTTATTTTGATAATTTTATAGCAATTAATGTAATGATAGAGAGTGCCAACTTCACCGAATCTCTTTAATTCGCTCGGATTGCTGCAAAATCATTTTATTTTTTTTGAAAAATTAAGAAAAGTTAGCATGACAGAAGACACTAGCTAAAAGTATACCACTGGTCTTAGAAAGACCAATCCCAATCTCTGCGCCACTTTCACTGCCTGTTTCTTCACA